ACACACACACACACACACACACACACACACACACACACACACACACACACACACACACACACACACACACAAAACAGAATGCAAACCTAGAATTCTAGGTTTGCATTCTGATTTTTTGGTTCATGTTACACAACTTAGGTTTTGTGTTTTTCCAGTTAAGTTTTCTTAACTGCAGCTATCTCTGCGGCCCTCTTTTTCAGATTTGATAAAACCCTGGTTCCCAAATTTCCCAGGATTCCTGTCTTTCATCCCCGGCTCCATCCCCTCACCTCTGACATGATAACACTAATTCTACTAAACTAAGCACGACTGCAATAAAGACTTTCTTGTCTCTGCGTCCTGTTTAAAATATCATTTCTAACATAGTGTCTAATTTACAAGGAAGCATGTGGAATGTTGGTGGGACAACCACAAAGTGTTCCAGGCTCCTTTTTCCTTGCGTTAAAAAATGCGTTATAAATTGAGTTATAGATTAATACAGCAACAGCTGAGAACCTAATTCTCGTCTGTGCTGCACAAACTATAATCTTGCTTGAATTTATGCAGAACATGGCTCCGGTGAATCTTTTCTTCAGAGTTTTTCCCACCACTCATGCTCCTGGGATCTGTTCTACACAAAGCAGCCTGAAGCCTGAGCCTTCTGTGCCTCTTGGAGTGTCCAACGGACCTTTACAGCATAACCTTTGATGCTGTTCCTTGAGGATAAAGACAGTAACAACAGGGTTTTGGTGTTCGATCCATTTAGTGTTACACTTCTGGTTCTGAGGTTCTGTTGATGCATGCACCCAAATGGGTAGAAACCACATTCCAGCGCGGGGAACACGCTGTGCTTTTAGCCCCATCTGCATAGTGACTCTAAAAGTTGGAGCATTTGACTTGTATTTTGCAGAAAAAATACTTTTTTCGTCTGTTCCGTTACAACAAATAACCACCTGGTTGCATCTACGTCTGGATTGGGTCATTATAGTGAAAACAGTGTAGTAGCCAACTGTTTATTAACGGTTTCCCCGTCAGATCGGGGCAGTACACAATGGGCAAAGGTTTCTTTCGGGGTTTAATGACTGGAGGATAACCCGAGGCGTGCCGCTGGTTTCCGAGTTACTTCCGCGTTTGGTCCGGTCGGCGCATACCGCGGAGGGCCGCGGTCTGAAAACGGAGTTTTCGTCAAGTTTCACTCGGCCGAACCAGGGTTAAATGCTGGATGAGACTGATTAAATCTATGCTATTGCTTTGAGTGAGTTTGGAGGCATGGCTGACGGGAGAGGAGAGGAGATCAACGAGGCCGAGCCGCGGGGCGCCGCGGGCGGAGAAGGTATTTTACGCAAATCGGGACACCAAGTACAGTTCTTTACTTTGGCTTTTTTTTACCGGCTTTGGTGACAAACAAATGCCAAACAAAGGCAATAAACGACACCAAAAAAGATCATCAAAAAACACTAAGTGTTCTTTACTCCAGATTCTTAAAGAATAAGGCTCGAATGTGGAATACCTATAAGTTCCATTTTGGTTTGTTAAACTCACACCAACCACAAAACTCGACTTAACTTCAATATCCATCTACCTAAACGAAGTGTGTTGGAGGTCTGAAAGTGGATTTGGGTTCGTTTATATGACGCTGGCGGGTGGGGTATCAATGAAGTGGCAAAAAAAGAAAGAAAGAACTTTAGCTCTCCCTCCGCAAGTTACTCTCCATGCCATGAGCGTCCAGTTAGTGCTGGATAGCTATCAGCGGCACATTCTTCAACCTAAAAGCGTCTCGTTTTTGCTCCCTAGAAAGTATATTACTGGACACAGACTATTAGTTCCTGAGGGGAAATGCCGGTGTTATGTCAAGAATCGCCTTCCAGAGAAATGCGTCCCCGTTTTCGGGAATGCGCAGAGCAATGTTTCTGCCCTTCGTCGTGTCTCCTAATGCTAAAAAATCTAACTTTTATTATCCCCAAAAGTTGAAAACGAGTGTGATTGCGATTTAAGGGAGGCATCTTTGCAAAGAAACACCTTCAATGTTTAGTGTGATCGTCTTTCAAGGTAAACGTTTCGGGACGAGAATTGTTGGCAACACTAACTTTAATGGATTTGTTGAGATTGTTACATCTAACCAGTGAAGTCAGTGTTAAAATGGAGTTGACAGTAGTGTTTCATTCGTTCAATTTGCCCAAAAATGGTTCCCTTATTGTAACTCAGCCCTGGTGAGCTTTATGAGCATGGACATCGCACATTGTCGACGTGAACGGAGCAGAACTGCCAAATCATAACCCTTTTTTTTTAAAAATAATCTCAGTCTCTCTTAAGAGTGTGACCAGCAGAGGATGCAGTTTTTCGGCAGGTCTTGCCACAAATGTGCGTCCCCAGTTCAGGTCTGCTCTGTTCATCACAAAAATCTATTATTTTTTACTAAGATAGACCAAAATAACATGTTGCATCACCACCCTTCATGTTAAACAAAAAGGTGTATATAATTTTTACAGACATTCACAAATATGTGTTTATTTAAAATACAAATACACATCAGCTGACATGTATTACAGTGAGAATAACACACGTTATTAAACGTCAACTCCATTTTCTTATTGATTTAATTGGTTAAATGTAACAATCACAACTCATGTGAGCTCTCCCGCAAATTGGGGACGCATTTCTCGCCATAACACCGGGGTGTCGTGCCAAAGTAGTTCCCCCCGCCGGGAATCGCGGGAGCGAGCGTTCACTGAGCGAAGTGCAGGGGTCCTAAAAACACGACTTCTCCCCCGTCAACCAACAAAAATAACGTGTGTTGTTTGATACCTGCTTCAAAGATGTGTTTCCTAGTGATGTGACGTCATTAAACCCACGCGTGCCTTCACGCCGCTGACACAAATACAGCAGAGCAGCGGTGTCCAATTTCAAGCTGCAAGATAAAACTCCTTTCGAACTGTCTCTGTTTGCCACAGGCAGGTGTTCATTTCACCACCATAATTGACCACATTCTAGTATTTTTGCAGCAACAAGCTGATAACTAAAGAAAGAGTAAAAATTAGACAACTGGAGGGTAAAATAATTGGGCCTAAATAGGATCTGAAAGGGATAATACAGGACGTATAATCTTTGAAAAGAATATTAAAATCCTAGAAAGCCCCGTGAACTGCCCCTTAACTGCCTTCTAGTTTGAATCATCTCAATAGAGTCATTCTTCTTGGAAGCTTAAAAATAAATGTGTTATGTAGGAATTGGGTACGATCTAAGTTATCTTTAAAGACAAAAGCACTGGTGACATAATGTAACACAAGCTTACAGGGGGGATAGACATTTTTGTCAGGCTGAGATATCCAAGCTGCCAGAATCTTTATTTATTTTTAAGCAAAACAAAGCAACACATAAACTTTCGTCTACTTAATTTTGATTTGAAAATAAAAAGTCACAGTTTCCATCTACATAGAAGACACAACAGACTATATTTGTTTAATCCTAAATTAAATGGAATTAATAGTTACTTCTTTGACTTTGAAGACGTAACTGGTTTGAAATAAGGACTAAAAGAAATGTCGATGAAGACATGGTCAGACGGACAATGCCTTTTATTTCGCGCGATATCATATTATTCTGATGCGTGTTCATGTGGGAATACACGCAAATGTCCACTCAAATAAGCCGTTGTGGAAACAGGGAGTAAGTTTGATAGCTTTTTCCTCACGTCCTGCCTCTAGCCTGTGGCTCTTAAACATGCAAAAACTGGGATTTAAAATGCATAAAAATGGGCTTTGACCCGGACAGCTTGTTGTCTTCCGGGTTTCTAACATTAGCCGTTGCTTAGTAACTACCCACGCTTTCGGTGACGTGGCCTCGGGTTAGGCCTTGTCACTGGGTCGTGTTGGATAGGTTCTATTGGATTCGGAGGAAGAACCAGGGATGTTCCATGGACACAGCAGTGAATGTGTGCGCTTTCTGTGTCCACTCTGGACAGCTTGTTGTCTTCCGGGTTTCTAGCAGCAGCAGCCGTTGCTTAGCAACTACCCACGCTTTTGGTGACGTGGTCACGGGTTCGGCCTTGTCGCTGGGTCGTGTTTGATAGGTTCTATTGGATTCGGAGGAAGCACCAGGGATGTCCATGGACTCAGCAGTGAGTGTGTGCGCTTTCTGGGTCCACTCCGGATGACCACCGGTCATCTCCATGGCGCTGGAGTCTGCACCTTATTGCCGTCTCGCCGTGCTCTGTCAGCGATGACAGACACAGTCACAACAAAGAGAACTGCTGTCAGTCACAGGAACTGATCGTAGACTCAGATATTACCCCCCCCCCCAGGCGAATTCTTAGTCATGCGTCATGATAAAAGCAGGAGGAAATGGGTTCAGGGCAACTTGCTAGATAAGATACTAATTTCACGTCTGAGTGCAACCAAAACTGAAACAAAACAAACTGATTTAACCAGAAGGCCTTATAATGTGGACGCTGTGGATATTTTTGACAGACTCAACAACAATAAAGACTTTATTTTAAATCCAGGAGGGTCGTCCATCTATTTCATATAGCCACTTACTCCAAGTAGGAGGTAGGCAGGGTACACCCTGGGCAGAGTGCAGGTCCATCACAGGCATATGGTCAAGAATATGATCATGAATATCCAATAGTGGCTTTGTTTCTAAATGGCACCCTTTAAACTGCAAAATTCCCCCTCTTCCTTGTGTTGACTCCTGTCATTATCTGGATGACTATGCAGGGGCCATTTTAGAAAAGCTGCCACCCCTTCAGGGATAAGGACCCACCGAGCCTTTTATGTACAGTGGAAATATGTTATCCAGCCACATTCCAGGAGCCTAACTTGTGACTCAGGTCTGTCATTCCGAGTCCCCGATTTGAGGTGAACAAAAGGTTTCCTCTGAAATAAGATTTGATCAGGTCTCAGAGTTCGGATTTTCTTATGTACATCGATGGATATTCCCAACATATCAACAGTTCTTTCCCTTTTTCCAGATGTCTTCGACGACCCCATCTTGGAGCAAGGCGCGGTGGTGCTGCGGGGGTATGTCTCAACACATTATTCTTGGACTTTAGACTTGTGAGGTGTTAGATTTGGTTCTTTAGTTGGAAGCCTGAGAATAAACCAGAAGCAGATCAAGAGTAAAAATATGACATTTATTGGTCACAAGCAAAGTATATCAGCGCTGGGCTCTCACAGACAAAGCTCCCAAAGGATCTCAGTCGGCAAGAGCCTCGATTTCCGGGTAAGATGGGCAGTTATCCTCTGGGCCGGGCCTCGAAAAGGGGAGGACGGCTGGGCGTAACCGAATGTTATTGGCCAGTTAGTTCGGTTATGTACAGACCAGAGGCTCTTCATTCATGCAGGTTTCAGTGAAATATGATAAGAAAATGTGTGTATCTACGTGTATCTACTGTACAGAGAGTAGGAGGAGTAGGCACAGCCAGAGAGTTTAACACAAAAGTAGAATTCTAAAGGAAATAATAATAATCTAAAAAGGAATAAGACAATCATTCATTTACATGGATTAAAATGTAGCATGCTATGCTAAAGTGAGTAATTATAGCCCAATTCTAACAGAGGGCTTGCAGAACTTGTCCTCCCCTTTGCTTTTTTCCCGTTTTGTTCCTGTAGAACCTGTTAATGTCAGACCTTTCCTATGGTAAAATCCCCTTGTCAGCCTGCTCGTCCTATGTGACGGGGATCTGTGGTGTGTTGGGCCTCTGGCTGCACTCCTCTGCCTCTGTTCGCTCTACGTCTGCCTGGTGTGGGGGGCCCGACAGACAGTCAGTGACATGTATTGCCAGCAGATGTCCCCCTAACTCCATCATGGAAGAGACAGCCGGGGGACTGTAAAACCGTGGGAAGCCCTTGTTCGTAGCCTGAAAGCATAGCTCACAGGCACAGCTTTCCATCTGCGGCTTGAAAAAGCTGACAGGACCAGCCCTCATCCCGTCAGGCTACACAGGCGTTTGCCTATCCCGCGTTTTTTTGTTGCTCTCTGCTCTTTTTGCCGTGTGACATAGTGATCTCACTCAGACGTGTGCGGTAGCCCTGATCGCCAACTATTGTAACCATGGCAGGTACGTGATTGAGCGCATAAACACGGCCGATCCGAGTCGGCACGTCTGCTCCGAGGATCTGGGAGGAAGGCCAGATGAACAACAGGATCCACAAATCAAAGAAGTGGTGGAGCAGCTGCTTAAAATAGCCGAGGAGTTGAACAGGAATGCGGAGTTCCAGCGGTAAGCCATCCGTCATGGACAGAAACAAACCCCCTCAGACCGTTGATCCTTTTGTTGTCCTTTTATTAGATTAGTCGGGTGTTTGCTTTATGAATGAATCTCAGTCTTAGGTTGGGGACATAGAGAAGCATGCAGGAGTGAACTCCTACTTACTCTTCTTACCTACAGCTGACGGAGCTCATTACTTTTATTTCTCAATTCACATTTTTCCGCTTTACATGACAGATTTTTAGAGGCCTACTTAGTAGTCTACATCAAAATAACCGTTTGGTACATTCCAGGAAACAGATCCTACTTTTAATATAAGATGTACCTTATTAAAATCAATTTCCATTTAATGTTTTTCCTTTTTCTTCCTGTCAGACTGATCAACCAGGTTCAGACTAACTGTGTTAAAGACGTCTTCATGAGTGTGGCCCGAAACATCTTTGCTGATGGGATCAACTGGGGTCGAGTGGTGGCGCTCTTCCATCTGGCCTACAGACTCATTCACAGGGTATCCGATCCACTTAAATCATTCGTTTCTCTAACAGCAAAGGAAAGATGCCTGATTGCAAATTAATGTACTCTTGCTATTTCTAAGCACCATCTTAACAGGGGTTTGATTAGACCCTGTGGGCGATGTTATCAGTCCTTTCCTAGTTACTCTTGTAGTCAGATGAATGTTAGATTTATGCTATTTAGCTATGAAATATGGTCGCCTGAAAGGCTTGAAAGGCTTCGGTTCAGGTTAGTGTCCATAGATGATACGTGTTGTGTTGTTGGATACAGGATGAAGTAGTTATGGTCAAACACACATCACACTTGAGTTAAGATTAGTCGATATGTGTCAGATAGCCGCTCCCTTCCTTCCTTTATTTTAGAAATTATTTTAGTTTTTCTTAATGACACAGGTCTGTCGAGACATCCCGAAACACCCGAATGGTCTGCCGCAGCTGCCTGTGACATTTTAAAGATCACAGAAGAATGTTATTTTAGATTCAAGGCTTTTGCTCTGGACCGGAGTCAAAGGTTCAGACTCAAGACCAAATTATGAGAGGAAGTGGGAGAGAGGCGAGAACTCGTATGAGCACAACACAAAAGAAGAATACAAATCAGATTGGAGAGAGTTCAAAGAAAAAAAACAGAATGACATTGCCCCACTTAATCTCTCTACATATGAGTTTATTTCTTGGGGCTTCATTTCTCTATAGACTATGACAGAGAACTCAGATATTTAGCTGTGTGTGTGCAGGTTTCAGACGTATGTTTTCAGGATAGTGATGTCCTAGATCAGCTGAGCGTGTGTGAGCAGACGCTGGAAAAAGTCGGGACCAAACCAACTTAAAAACTCTGGTGTTGTAAACTTGATTGGCAGTAACTTATTTCTTATTTATTTATTCATTTATTTGATAGGGACAAGTATGTTTCATGAATCATGTAACACAGTACAACATTTTAGCTAAGGCTAATTCTCAACTCCAGTCTGGATGCAGTGTCTCATGTTTTCTGTGTGTTTCTGTGAAAGGCTCTGACCACCAACCACTTGGAGAACATCCGAATGGTCATCGGCTGGGTTCTCCAGGTCATCCGAGACCAGCTTTACTCCTGGCTAGTGCAGCAGGGAGGCTGGGTAGGTGATCCGCTGTCATAGAGATGTCATTTTGGTGTCTCGGTGGTTCGATCTGTTGCCCTTAACTCTGCCGTCTTTTTGCTTCCAGGCGGGGGTGATCAATAGTATTTCACGATGGAGGACAATAGCCATCGCAGCATCGGTATTGTTGGTGGTGGCCTTTGTTTACTACAGGAAAACACGCTGAGAGTTGGCCAGCCCCCAAAGCAGGGCTGCAGTCTCAAAGACTTTACCAACCACACTCACTCCACGGCCTTTAAGCCCACCGAGAGGAGGCCAAGAATTGTGCTTTGAGGTCCATACCTTGTTATTTCTCAGGTTTCCCAGAATGAAAAGGGGCTTTTGCGAGTAGCTACACAAAGTATCTGTTTTCCCTCACCAGCGATTCATCAGTGCCTTCCACACATGTTCGACACTCAGTCTAACACGTTGAAAGCTCTCAGCCATTAGATGGCAGCAGGCCTCAGCAGGCGGCCATGTTTATGGACATTAAAGACACCGTAACTCATTACAGTGGCTCAGGACCCAACCTGCCCCTATGTCAGCCACAAAGAGGAAAATGTAGCAAATATTCAGATGGGACCTTTGACCTTTTTAGGGAATAAACACAGTGTAAAGGCTTACCTATGTATTTGACCTTAATGCAAACCCTGAAACTTATGCAAGGTATGAACTTGAATGTGGTCAAATGTTAAAATTACATACGTTGTGGCCCATAGTCATGTTGTTTTTGGTATTTCTGAAGTCGATGTGAACAGCCGTGTTTGCATAAATGGCGATGGCATTTCCTTCTTACATTTTTAGAACTCTTTTCATGTTCCCTTTATTTTTATTCTATTTTTCCAAAGTACTGGTTGTATCTCAGGTTTAACCAAAACAGTCCCTAGGGCATAATTTTTCGGAAGTACGAAGATAATTTCACCCAACTGGTTTTCTGTCTTTAGCTTGTTCTTCCTAATGCAAAAGGACTAAATTAAATTTAAATGATAAAAGCTTGTTTTTTGTAGTAGATGTCATTGTTTCAAAAAGGGCAAACTGTAAAGTGCATGGCTTTGAAAAGACTTTTATACGGCACATAGGGTAACCAAATATGTTTTAACTTAAATGGTTTGGTTAATTTAAGCTTCAGCATGTCAAAAAAATACAAAGGTCATTGTATTTATGTTGTGCAACAGGTACCTCAGAGTGGGGATTGTCTTTCCTAATCCTGTTTTTATGTACGCTGGCCTGGAACTGTTGGGAGTGTCATATCCTACAATCTCCATCTTCACAGAACTACTTTTAAACTGGAGGTCTTTACTGTCTGAAAAAAAAGGATTGAATAAAATAAATATGTAAATATATTTAGAAATTATAGAGCAGAGGGAGCAAACCCAACAATCATTGTTATGGTTGTTTTGTCTTGCTATTCTTTGTCAAAACATCTGAAATCTGCTCTTTTGTCCCACTTTCTCTGGGGATTTCTTGAGGTTGGTAGTCACTTTTTGTCGCTGAAAAATGTGCGCCGTGCCTTCTACTGAAGTTCTGAATGAGCCACAAACCCACACTATCACTGGCTTCTGGAGCTTTTAATTATTTAAAAACATCACGTTTTATCCCAAATCCTGATCATAATGCCCTGGTTGATTTCCCCTTTCTGACTTTCTAAATGGACTTGTTTTTAAACTACCAACTACCAACAAGTGTGAAATGGAACTACATGCATAATGTCTAATACTAATGCATTTTCTTAATCCTGTATGAATAAGATCATTTGTGATTTTTTTTCCCTACCAGTTAAGTTCCCTGTGTTCCAGTTGAGAGTTTTTAAACCAAACTGACTGCACTTTAACAGGAGATAATTTGTTAAATGTGGTGAATATCTTGACAAATGACCAGAAACTCGTTTTAGCTTAATACATTTCTGTGGGGGGGTGAGTCTTTAGCCAGATCTTTACATTTATTTGTTTTCAGTGAAGTGATGTCAAGTGAAAATAGGATGTGGTCAAAAGACACATTTATGTATTTTTTCTTAAAATGGTGTATATTTTGTAATTTGACTAAGATACAGCGTACATGTTGGAGATTTTGGGGGGAATTAAAACACAAATCCATAATAACCTGAAAAAATGAATAGGCTTTCAAGATGGCTGCTCCTGTAGTTTGGAGCAGCCTCTCTTCTTGTGCCAGATGTAGATTAAAGAAAAATAAAAACTTCAATGTTTTTTTTTTGTTTTGCATGTCATACATCAGGACTTCTCTGACTCTTAACCTCTGAAATTCTGTTGATGTTTGCTGACAATGTACTTTGCTTCTTCCAGCGTCTCCTGTTGGTGTGCATTTATAGACATTTCTGTATGTGCTGATAGTCCTATTTCATTTTTTATTTTTTAAAATCATTTAAAAAAGTGCAGAACAATTATCTTACGGAAAATTCCATTATCGATTACTCTCATCTTGATAAGCTGTCATACATTTATTCATAAAGGTTTTAAAACTAAAACTCGACACATAAAAAAAGACAAAATGTTATAAACGTAACAAATTAATACATCCAGGAAATTAAAAGGTAACCTGAAAAAACATAAAAAGCAACAACTTTTTAAAAAAAGCAAATAAATACAGTGAGTACCAATATTACACAATACTTTAGTAGGAAATGTGAGCTTCAACCCCTACATGGTTACTCTACCAACAGCCCAAATGACAGAGTTGCAGTAGACTATTAAACCCTATGATTTCTCAATGATTCCTCCTGGTTGATTTTCTCAAATCAAATATGGTCGCATTCCTTTCTTTTTCATGCTCCTGCTGACGCTGTGCTTTACGTGAACTTTAGTCTCCTTATTTGACATGAAACAAAAGCACTCCCTTTTTCTTTTCACAGAGGGAATGTGGGCATCCCATGATGTATTTTAAGAAATATGAAAAGGTTAGCTGAGAATGGCAGGAGATAGCGTTCCATAGCGCACAGCCCTCAGCCTCGCTCTGTTCAGTCATGTCTGATGGGCCAGCCCTGACAACATCCTCCCCAAGCTCCTCCAGACTCTGGAGCAGGAGCTGGTTTTTTCCAAATGTCAGGAGGAGTGCGTGGACAACCCCCGTATGACGAATCCTTTTTCCGAATGCTCAAGAGTTGGGTTCTCATCTCTTGTGGAAGCTTGGGCTGTGAATCATCTGGGAGAGCATTCCGAACGACTCCACGGGATGCGCGGCATCCTCTGCCGGGCCCGCACTCAGCCGGACGGGAAGCTGCTGCTCTGACAACGCGGGATTCAGGGTGCTGATCCTTGGGAGGAACTGGGCCAAAGCCGGAACGCTTCGGTCTAAGCCCTGCAGTCTCTGCTGGTGGTTTCCCAAACTGAGGAGGGCTCCATGGCGCTCCGAGAAGTAGGTGTTGTACCCGTCTGCTAAGATCTGCTCTCTAAAGGTGCAGTCCTCTTCGTTGTATGTGTGCTGGAACAGAGGGACGTTTGCATATAAAAACATGCATGTGCATCAGATCAACCAGATCAAATGAGCAGCAAACATTATGCATTGTGTCAGAAGTTTATTTAACTTAAATAACTCAGAGAAAACGTTCATTTTATTCATCCTCTGTATCTGCACTCACACTGTGATGTGGTCCTATGCCATTTGGACATGAGATGGGTCATATCCCAGATAGTTAGTCATTTCCTCCCATTGGTTATTTGTACCATCATATTTTTCTAAATCAAACGCAAAACAAACGCATGCAAATGGAGCTTTAAGTTCTTCGATGGTTGTTTACTTTAGCGAGTGAGAGCACAGCCAGAGGCCAAGGTTGTTGTTGCTGCTGCTGGGCCTTTTCATTCAGCTTTTCCACTTTGCAAACACATCCTAACCTGCACCACTCTGGACAAAGGTTGATGAACTGGTCGACTGATGGAATGAATGGCTGACTGGCGTGCCGTGTTTTCTGAACATGGAAGTTTACTGACAGCCGTGTTTGTTAACTTGTTAAAGCAGAAAACACTTGGCTATTATAAAACCCCACACCCTTCCTATAACGGTCTAATTATGAGATGAGAAAGACCTGCTATGAAAGGCGTGATGTATTTGTTAGACTATATGCACTGATGGGAAAAATAACAATATTAAAGTGATTTATCTAAAGTGATAGTTCTTTGCCGACAGCTTTGTCACAAACACTCATCTGATTAGAAAGGTTTATAGGTCAAAACAACTTTAATTGGGACAAAAAAGTTGAACAAAACTGCGAGTTATATTTGAATGAGTCTGAGTGGGTGTGAGCTTCTTTCTTGTTCTGATTTTACCAGTTCAAACCTTCTTGCTTTTGCAGCCTTAAGTGCATCATCGTCACTAGAATTTAATTGAATCACAGCATGAGTTGGTAGTCTGCAAACGCTGTGCCCTCATTGGCAAAAAGTAACTGAACCAGCTGGACTATTGGCCTCCGTTGGATTCTCGTTCTCATTTTCAAAGCAAAGACTGTGTTAACAGCGCAGTGTTAACAGTATCTGCTTGAGGGGTTACTTAGATAAAGCAGGGTAGCATTTTTGATTAGTTGCCCTTGCTAATAGAAACTGAGCCTATTAAGAATCAGAGGAATTATGGCAGAATAAAGGGATAAACAGCAGGAAGCATTCATCCATCCATTTTTTGTGCCACTTATTCCAAACGGGAAGTGAAAAATAACTCTTTAAAAAAAGGTTGAATCACATATAAGGTGCCTTTGGGCCCTTACAGCACTTATAACCACTGACTTCAGGTCGGTATTATTATACATAGCTTGGTTATGGCTGCTATCTGGGTTTTATGAAGTCAAACAATGAACAAAGTCAACTGTAGCGATGGAGAGAGTGTCCAATCATCAGCTCGTCATGAAGGATGATTTACTTCACATTTGTTCAGTGTTTTATATGCTGGGCATGATCTCTAATTGAACTGATAGATGTTTGTTGAAGTGTCATCTGAAAAAATAAAAGTATGACTCTGTCTTTGAGTGTGTGTAAAATGATGGTGACACTAACAGCTTTATCAATAAGGCATAGATATCCATCCATCCATTGTCTACATCGCATGTTCCTATTAGGGCCGCTGGAGGGCTGGAGCCAATCCCAGCTGCCATTGGGCGAGAGGCGGTTACACCTGGAAAGGTCAGTCCATCACAGGAGCGCAAACAGACAAATAACCGCACAGCCTGCACTCACATGGATTCTAATTGACCGCCACGCCACCGTGCAGCCCCGTAAACGAGTAGATCCCTGTCAGTTTGGTCAAGATGCTTACCGATGAGTACAGCCTGCCATCCCCTTCTATGCAGAGAAACCGCGAGGCTGCGACTCCTCTGATCACAACACGGCCTGGAGCCACCGGACGGATTTCCAACAGGCCTAGTGCAAACGTTCAGACGTAAGGAAAATCCCACTGCACGCAGTTCCAAAGGGCTCTAAGAGACCGGACTTACTGTGCAGAGTTTGGTCCGCGGAGCCGTGGATCTGTCCATCCTCACTGATACGCAGATGCAGTCCCGGTTTGGCAGCGTACAGGTGTCTCAGCCGGACTACCTGGCCCCAGCCGTGCGCGAGGTGAGGCCCCTGGTCAGCCAAGGGCATGCAAAATATCCCAGCGGTGTAAAGCACGTTGGCCACGGATAAGACAATCGCGAGGGGCAGCATGGTTGTCCGGTGGCGCTGCGTCGTCGTGCTCTCCAGTCTCCAGGCAGTGGAATGGTTGGCCGGTGTCATCCTAACGCAACCTTTTAAATACTGGCCCCTTATCAGTTGCAGATAACCGTCTTTCCCAAACCCAATTCTCAGAAGCAGACCATAACACACCCCTGCACGTCATCCAACTGAATTTCAGCTCTCCGTTGGGCCCCCGACGAGCCCCACAGGGAGCCGGTGTCAGTGCGAAAACCTTTTCCAAAGCGCACCCAGACAGTGTGCGCCTGGTAAAAAAGTTTTCTTTTATCTGTCTAACGGACAGAACATTGTTTTAATAATAATAAAAGGGTACAAAACTTTCTCAATGAGGAGTTTTTCTAAGCAATTTTAAGGCACGTAAGCGGATATGAGCGTCTCTTCTTGACCCAGAGCTACAGTTACCGATAGTTGTGATAAACGTAGTAGCCTATGCATTAGACAAATCAATCCATCCATTCAGCCATCCATGTAGGCATTTCTGGGGCTCTGTTGGTGTGGTGAAGGCCAGGTTGTTGTTTTTTTTTAGAAAGACCAGGCCACTCTGAATCCCCAACGTTGTGAAACCATGGAGGTTAACCCTGTAATGCCAAATGTATCATATTTAATACATACGGTTTCTGAAATGTTTTGCGTCTGACACCTTTTGCATAATTTAATGATAAAAACTTTGCTCAAAATCCTATTTTACACAATCAGAAACATCTGATAACAGGGGGCAGAAGACTACACAAAAAATAATCTTGATTTATCGCATAGTAATAAATTATTAATATAAAAATTTTATTTTTGTTTTTGTCTTTTTACATAAGGAATTCAAACAAAAAAAAGTAATTTTCTGTTTTGTTTTATTCTTGGATCAGGCTTTAAAGGTTTAAGTGATAATTCTGAGTCTGGACCAGTTTTTTTTTTTATAAGGCTGCTTAGTAGCTTTGGAAAGTTCCAGGGCCATCTTACCTCTGTAACAAAAAAGACAAAAAAATCTTGTTGGCAAGTGAAGTAAGTAAAATATCGACTGCAGTTTGGCTGTATTATTCTTGAGAATCTAATTTGTTATTGTATCTAAAGGTGAATGCCAAACAACTGGAAAAAAGAGTGAATATGTCCTTAGAAGAAACATATGTCAGGGTGTAAATGATAATTGTGAAAGTGAAAGAAAAATTGCTGTGAATATTTGAAATGTACATAGCATAGATATCTCAACTTAGATTATGTCTTGTATATGAGTGGGCAGGTCAGCACATGACTTAATCAACATAAAGACTTTTCCTTATTGATAATATTTGGATAATCTCACAATTTTTCTCAAAAACTCATTTTTTCCCCTTTTACAGACTAAAAAAACAGGCATTCAGAACTCTGTGCATAACTGGAGACACCGGGTTATTGCACTTTTGACTCCAGGGGGCACCAGAGATCACTGAACACAATACTTAAAAACTCAGCTTCAGTTCACCTCAAATTAAAGTTTCAACCCCCTGTTAGTAAGCAACAAGTAGTTAATCAGGATTGCTCACCATTAGCAAGTTTTTTGACATATTGACTAACCAGTTTTGCATCGTGACACATGTAATTCAGCGATATTTTCTGAACAACATTGGCTTTGCCGGTTTTGTTGTTGAGCCCTACTCATAGCAGAATAACAGTCTAAAGGCAGCGCAGCACTTCAGACGCAGTAGTTCAGGTAGATGTTGTTTTTATGTTTTTGTACAAGTAGTTTGGCAAGTGAAAGAGTTCCAGTCCGTCTATAGACGGCATGTGTGTTGCATTGATAATCACATTGCATAATTAGGTTGCATAAAGTCCTCCCAAACTCAAATTGCCCATTTTTTATTTGTGAACAGGTTAAAGTCTACAGACTGGTCTGTATCCAGGCTGAGCTGTGAGACTGGGTCATTCAACGCTCAAATAACAGACTTCTTTCCGCTCTTATCGCTTTGTGGCCTGTGCTTCCGATGCGCTGCCTTGCATTTACATACAAGTTAAACTATAATCCAAGCAAATATCACCATTCACCAAATGCACCCAGAGATCCAGATTGCAAAGCCGCTCTTTGAATGAACTTTACTTCTGTGTTAGGCATGGGGAAGACTCTGTTCTGGCAATTTAAAAAGCTCCCGTCCTCATTCAATTACATATATATATCTATATATTTATGTTTTCTATTTTTAAGAAAAACATTCCCTGAGAATCTATTGAATTCCTTTAGGTTTATGAGAACATTTTTAATTTTGCAAAAATAGAATGTTTGATTTATTTTCTCTCTTGCCTGAAAACGTTTTGCATGCTTCTGAGAATCTGTGCCGTCATTGTTTTCCTCTCCACTGCAGAGCTCATTTTGCTCATGCATGAATTTGTCTTCCTTGACTTCTTTGTGGCATCTTTTGACAAGTGATGCAAACTTCTAATAAACAGTAAAGTTAAACAAAAAGTCCCTGGTAGCTGGGATCTACTTAGCCAGGACAGAAAGCTGAGGCGACTTTTCCTTTTAAAAAAATGTTTGCGCTGATAAAACCTCCAAAACTTGTGCAGAACTGATGGCGCTTGACTTTAAAACATTACAGCCATGTGAGCTTTTCTTTTTACAAGTTTCATGGCTTTGTGATGTCACTGTTATCACCATATTTGGACATGTATGTGTGAAAATTAATGGAATAAATTTGTTACCAGTAATTTCCTCAAATGAAGTTCTACTGTGGAGACATTCATGTGTGCAGCATGAATAATGTCTCTTAATTTGAGTTCTTTATCCCCAGATCACAATTTTTTGTTTGGCGGTCCAAAAGTTTAGGTAAAATAAAACAAGAAAGAAGTTGGCCTTGCCTATTAAGAGGTCAAACATGCTCAGATATGGCAAGACCATTTTTTTTTGCCAGGTTCAAATTCTTCTTCTTCTTTGTGGAACCCTGGAGCTGTTTGAGAGGATTTGTTTACTTGGTTACAGACCCTTTAGTGGCACTGACGAAATGCGCTTTGCACAGCAGACTGTCGCAGTGCTGACATTCGAGTAGCCTGGCTTCCTTGTAATGTTGATGATGCGGTTTGAGTTCGAGCCATTTGTTGGCAGAAAGAAACTTCGAGTCAAATTGGTGACGTCAAGTCAAATGACAGGGATGATGCGACATGAAGTCATTATTTAGTTGTGACTGTACCCTCTGCAGCGCACTATATTTGAAAATGTCCGTGTCATCACATAGTCCAGATGCACAGAACGCACATGTTTGCAGTTTGGCGCTAAGTCTCCGACAGGAGGTAGTGATGATGCCTCTGTGAGGAATCAAAATGTGCTATTATGGATAAAGGTAATTAGCACAGATTTTAGTCTTAATTGGTGCAGGTAAACCTGGACAAAATCCAAAGGGACAGAAATCTACAGCTGTTTTTGTCGGGATTAATGTCAGCAGGTTGGATCACAACAGTTTGGAGCAATGGGGAGGAAATTGGACCGAAAATACAAATTCCCATTCGATGAGTACCTGTTTCACTTTGTCACTGGTCGCATTCTTTCGATCAGCAGCCAGCTTAGCTTTCAATACCCAGGTTCAACTCTTTTGACACCTTGAATTTGTAAAATAGTTTTGCATCAGACTTTGGTGCCATTCTGCTGTTGCTCCAATCGGTAAATTGCAGTAGTGTGGACGTGGTGGGAAACAAGGCACCACCTCACCTAGAGACAATGCAAGTACACCTCATCTTTGAGTGGAGATGTCTTCATATGTCTAAAGGTTCACATCTGCTGTAAAGTTAGTTATTTAATGCCTACTCTTACTGTTTTACATAAAACCAGCTTTGTTCCAGCCATCTTCATGTTATGCAAAACTGGTGTAGTAATAAGGACATGAATGACCTTAAGACTTCAGTTTGTTTGTGAAGAAAAAAGGATTTTTATAATGCTTTAACCATAAAGGCAGACAGAGCTGAAAACATGAAAATGAATGTCTGGATCTTAAGACACATGAAGCATAAAAGATAGTAAGCACATCTTAAGTTTAAGCGTACATATGTCCAGGTAAATCAAATTCAATAGGGTTGTGTTTCTCTTTTTTTAGGCTTGTGTTCAGATGTGTAAAAATTAAGTTTCCTTTGTAAGGGCTGTTTTTTGGCCAGCTTTCCACATAGAAAAAAGCAAAGCACTAGAATGTTTTCAGTGTTGTAAGATTAAAGCATTCAGTTAGGAAAATTCAAATAAATACCCAAATAATTTGTAAAAATATAAGTGCTTTAGTGGTGGGCTCTCGATGAAGTGATGCTATACTCACTAAACCACACCTTTGGGCTCCCGCTATGTGTGTCGGGTTAAAGTGAGAGTTCACATCGTTTCCTAGAGTCACACATACACACGACAAGTCAGCGCTGAGGATATAAAAGGGTGAAATAGCTGGGAGGGGAAGGGGAGCCTTTAGAAGTACCTGCTCTTTACAGCCAAGCCTCTGGACCACCGACGGCAGACAGATGATAAAAGCCCTCCTCCCCCATAGGCAGACAAAGGAGTTTTACTCTAATGAGAGACAAATAGTTCCTCTCGATGCTGAGAACTGGGTGTTTACTGAAGTTGGATGAATGTCGGCACCATTTTGACTGGGACTTGGGATACCTCTGGGATCCCTTGAAGTGGATATACTAAACTCTTTTGGTTGGCAGCTCGGAGGCTGCAGGTGCTCTGTCAGGCAGATGATGGCAACATTTGAATACTTCCATTAACCACCTGGTTTGCATTAACATCCAAAAAGTTTGTCCTGGTTTCCTTTACTTATCAGAGGATTCGTAATGCTGTAATTTCGCTGACTGGACAGGAGAGCAGTTTGGGATCCTGTTTTCCCGACAGAAGTCGCAGGAGCCTGAACTCTAACTTTAGGCCAGTTTACAGCCTTTCAGCATGCTGGCCTTAGTTTTGGCCAGCAGAAAGCTGTCATTCTGTCATTCTTCCAGCCTGTGATGAGGCCTGTTTTAGCACAGGGCTGCAGCTAAATGCAGGGACAGAAATATATGCGTAAAGGAGCTATGTGGACACCTGTCCTGGACTCGCCAAGGCCACAAAGCAGCAG